GATGTGGCTATATAAAGGGGTCTCGGGACGTGCGAACCATGGGTAAGCCACCCATCAAATAGTAAACTTTGTAAATTAAGACAAATGTATGTAAAATTTATTGTAGGTTTGTCAAAAATCCAGCCGTCCAGGTCCTGGGAAGATATGTTATTCCACATTGCTGAGAGTATATACGGGTATATTAAGATTGCTAGAAACATTACAAAATCAAAAGAAATGCCATGTGGCGCACGTCGCCAGTTATGGGTTAAGGGCAGCAGTGTTATTTCTCAGAAATATAGAAGTTGATGAAGTTCTCATGTGAGAATCCCATGAGAGTTTCGGAAACCGAATTTAATGCTGTTGTGAGTGAGCCTACCCCAACTGCTCTTTAGTCTGGAAACGATTGTTCTTTCATAGAAGATGGATTTTTGCCTGCAAGTTCGATTGTTTCTGCTGATCGTTGTTATCGAGAAGAATAATTTCTTTAGAATTATGATGCTCATGATCGCAAAAACCTGTTGGTTCCACCGAATTTCTAGTTCCGTTTGAGTTTTCCTATGCAGTAGGAAGAAGCGGTCATCAGAAAAACACCGTGGACTGTTTTTCTTTGACCGCCTGGCATCACTCACGGAGACTAGTTTTGAAAAGTTTTGTAGAAGTAAGGCATAATTGGGGTTCAGCAAAGTAGGGAGGGGCATGTTGCGACAGTTCCTTTCGCTTACCTAAACTGCAGTTTTCCCAAGGGGCGTTTTTGCGATTTCGCTTCCCTTTGTACACCTACCCCGGAGCTTCCTTCTTCTGCGAAAGATTGGATTATTCGGGCTGTATAAACCGTCGCACCGAGTTCCTCACTCCTTAGTGGATGAGGCCTGATAATTCTTGCCATCTTTAGGGAAGCAGAAACTCGAAAATCCTATAAAATACGGGATTCCACTCAACTTTCAAAGCTTTAGATGATGCCGTCATCAACTATGCACATGCAGCATCAACAGCATGCACAGCCTATGCAACAGCAGCAAATGACGATGCAAGTGGCGCCATCTAGTATGTAGGCAGTTAGAGATTTATTTTTCACAGTAACGGACTTATGGTTGTGGAAACACATGCTGTCTGATGATGAGCCTTTTCAGCTTCCATTTCTTCTGGTGTTGGAGTACAAATGAACCAACCTCAGACTTCTCAGTCTAATACCCCTCAGCCGTTGCCAACTAGCGACAGTCAGGGTATGGTGACAAAATGTGTGCGCTTTTTCAAGACTCTTATACAATTGTCTCAACAACCTGAGCAGCAGCAACCGTCGCAGAATCCTCAGCAAACTGCCCACCTTGTAAAGGAACTTGTTAGTGTAAGTGGTTGTTTTATATTTGCTTAAACTCATCGTTCACCGGATTTTTGGTATCGCGACACGTAATTGAGCCAATTTGTCGATAAAGTGGTTTCATTTCTACCGGACCATGATAACTGGCACAGACTGACACATTTCCACATACTGTCCTAGTCGATTCAGCAAAGGTGAGATAGAATAAGAATGTCGTAAATGAATGTGTTCGTAGAGTACGAGGATTGAATTGTTCTGAAGAATGCTACTTCTGCTCAACAGAATCATCTAGGAGGCCCCCCCTGGGGGGCGGCATTTCATCGTATGGAAAAAGTGAATTGTAAGGAAATTACACCAGTTCGGAAAGAAGAGAAGAGCGGAAGAGTCTAAAAATTATGCTTTTGTTTTCCCGTGGCAAACATTTCATTCTGGCATCAATGCTCTTGTTGCAAAATAAGCAGAACAGGTTGTTTTCATCAAGAGAGCGAGTTGTTCAGATTTACATTGAACTCATTAAAGTGGCAGTACATCAAAAGTTGTCAACTTCAGACTTTGGTATTTGGTCAAATGCCTGCCGAGGAGTTCACAACCAGACTGCAGAGTGCCTTAAAATCACAAGCGCAGCCTCATCTACTTCCATTTCTTCACAAGACGCTTCCCTATCTTCGCGCTGCGATGAGAAGTGGTAGGACTCCTTCATATTCTTTAAAATTATTCTATCATATTTCCTCATTAGATTGACTGATCAGTTCCTTCTCCGAGACAACTATG